AAGAGGGCTCCTAATTCGAACCTAGGTTGGGGGAGCCCCTCTGTGCCAAGTTTGCTTGTTCACCCTGTGTCAGTGTGGGTTTTCTTCAGGTACTCCAGCTTCCTCCCACAGACCAAAGACATGCAGGTTAACTGGTGACTCTAAATTGTCCGTAGGTGTGAATGTGAGTGTGAATGGTTGTCTGTCTCTATGTGTCAGCCCTGTGATAGTTTGGCGAACTGTCCAGGGTGTACCCTGCCTCTTGCCCAATGTCAGCTGGAATAGGCTCCAGCACCCCACGACCCTCAAGAGGATAAGCAGTTATTCCATAAACTACTGTTGAAATTTCTTTCATTTTTTGTTTCTGATGATGAGTGGAGAGGTGAGATTATGTTTTTTTTGTTTTAATTCTGCTTCCTGTTCATCAGCTGACACTCTGTCTGCTCCCAAATGCACAACAGATACTGTACCCAAGAAGAGACACTACTTTGATTGACATCAAAAGAGAGCACAGAGAACAGAGGTGCACACACACACACACACACACACACACACACACACACACACACACACACACACACACACACACACACAGGTAGATCCAGAAATTTCACTTCTGCTTTTAAACAGCTTTATTCACAGGAAGTCAGATGCACAAAGCGGAGTTAGCAGTAATATTCAACGATATCCGTGGCAGTAAACACATCATTATGAAGACACAGATCATATTTTTGTTAATGTTAAAAAGGATTTCATTATTTTAAGGCCATGAAAACCAAATCAATAATTCACAAAGCGTATTACTGATACATGAAACCAAAGCCAAGCATTGATATGAATCATTTTGACTCCGCAGACTGGTCTCAAGGCGCAGACATCAGGACGACTGATTGTTTAGATATGAGTGGTGGCAGCATCACGGGGGGGCTGGTGGTTCGGCTCTCTTGTGTCCCTGGATTTTCCTGCACAGTTGGATTGACATCAGAAGAGGTTAGCTACTGTTTTTTTATGTTTTGTACCTTAGCAGACCTGCAGAGGTCTTTTGCTGCTGTATATAAAGATCAGAAATTCCCACCTTTACATCCACATCTTGATCCAACATATATAGCTACAACTATGATGACAAACGCCATGATCCCAACAACACGGTACACATATGGCCAGAAAGTGTCCTGAGCTGCGGGACTCTCTGCAACATAAAACAGGACATTTGAATAAGCTTCAAAGGCGCACGGATGCATGAAAAGATCATTCATATAAAGAAAATGTTTGTTTTTGATCTATATGTACAGTGCGTGTGTTTTCTTACCTAATTCCAAAGTTGTCCATGTACCTGTGATGAGTTTGACATCTGAAAAACATTCAGATTGTTTACTTGTCACAATTAAGTCTTTAATCTGATCATTTGGGAAATAATAATAATTAATAATGCATAATAGCCTCCTGTCACTGTACAGTCCAGTATAGGTTTAGTTCTACTCACCCCGGACAAAGACCTTGATGTTATGACCCACACCGCCTCCACTTTGACACTGATACACACCCGTGTCATGTACGAGTGATTTGTGGAAGATTAAAAACGATATCCCTTCTGAATGGTTTAAAAGTTCCCACTCTGTTGTCATGTGACTGCTCCTGCTAAAATTGACAGGGACATCAATTATCTCTCGCTTATACCAGGTGACTGTTGGTGGTGAGTTTTTGCAGAACATAACAGTGCAGTTAATCCTGAGGTCTTCTCCAGGGAGAGATTCATAAACTGTGTGTCGGCGCACTTTAACATCAACTTCACAGTCTGGATTTTCACCTGCAAAAGGACGATGACACACAGTACAGATCAGAAATGACTGGTACAATGTGATACCAGCTGATGATGACACAACATGAAAGCAGTGAGATGTTATCTAACAATTGACAACCACAGAAATAGGTTGTACGGGTTTTTGAAGATGCTGCTGCAGCCAGATCACCAAGGGTGGAAATCCGGGGGGGACAGGGGGGACATGACCCCCCCCCCCCAGTAAAGCTGTCCCCCTCTAGAATAATTTGAGTCACAATTAATAACTTTTGAACAATGCAGTAGTATTTATTGAAAACACAATGTAAGCGGTGCTCATTATAATTGCGCAATTATGTGCTATTTAAATCTTAAAAGATTTAGTCCCCCCCTCCCATTCCTAGTAGTGGTTTAGTCCATCCCACACTCTTTCCAATGGGCGGGGCTAGCAGCCGTTAGTACTTGGCAGCAGTAGCAGCATGTGGCTGGACCCTGCTGTACCCACATCGTGGGGTAAGATGTGCACTCACACAGACACAGTTTAACTTACACAAGTTACAACACATCCCATTTACAACAAGTTGGAGTACCATAGTACTACGGTACCTCAGGTACCACTACTGTGGGATAAGTTCAAAGTCCAATCGCTAGAGGGTGAGTGTCCATGCGCCGTCCAATAACGGCACGCGCTGGCCAATAATGGCACGCACTGGCCACCTGGCACTCGATTTGCTGCTGCAGTGGTTTGTATCCAGTGACATTTCAGGTATTAGCTGAGCTATTGAGTATCTTTAAGCAGTGAAAGTTATTATTAATTTATTTTTACTTGTAGGTTAGATTTGTTTATATATGCTACAGTGATTTGTTTTCCACTACAGAGCTCAACGGTATGAGCATTTTACTCGCATTTGCAACTAAAAATAGTTGTTTGCGAGCAAAAGAAATCATTCAGGAGCAGCTGTGCAAATACAGATTTTCAACCAGCAGCACAAATGAAAGGCGAATCCTGCCGGTTGTGGGTTGAACGCGGGTCACAGACACACACAGTAATGTATTCCTGTCAAATACGGCAGCCATAGTGCTCCGCGGCGCAAGATAACAGCTTACCGGCGACGGAGAAGTCCGGCTCTAGGTCCAGTAATTTCCTGTTTCGTTGGTGTCATGACTGCCCAAAAGTACCTGGACAGCCGAGCTGTGGTGGCACACAGGTATGTGACGTGTCAGAGGACAAACGAGCCGTTCACATTTCTCTCTTTGTGGCAGGTAACGGTCCACAAACCTCACCGCACTTTAGGGACTGTTCTTTACTTATGGAGGGACTGCTCTTTACTTGTCAGGGGAGGAGGGTGGCTGGTTGATTTTTATTGTATTTATTTATTTTATTTTGATCCCCCCTATGTTAATCACTTATTGATGCTGTTTTTGAAGTATGAATAAGTCAATAAGTAATTTATTCCATTGAAATATCATTGATGTATTATAGAAAAGTGATTTATCTTTTCATAAATGACAAAAGGCACATCTGCCTCATTTTTGCTGTGGTATCGTGATACTACTCAGAACCATGATATTTTCACTGGTATCGTACAGTTGGATCCAATTTTGGTACCATGACAAGAATATCTGCAACATTTCTCCTGCATTGTTCAAAAGCCTACTCAATAACAAGTGCTGCTAAGCTAAAAGCTAATGACAATGCTCAGAGTTCAGTGATAGTCAGAAAGGACAGGAGAGAAAGAAAAGGGAGAGGACAGGACAAGAGCAGTAATATTTATTTTTGTCATTCTGAAAGACTAACTGTCTGGATATTGATGTCAGAAATAGTTCAGATTTTACTGACATTTTAGATTTATTTCCAGGAAGGTTTTATCCAGGTTTATGAATTGTTTTGTCTCCAAAGGAAAGTAGCCTATTTTTACTGTTGGCTGTTCTGTCCTAGATTTTTGAGTTATTGCATTGATATATGTTCAGTTACCCAGTAGATATCTACTTTGTTTTTAAAACAGATTTTTTCATTTCTGAGTCAAATGTTGCAGTCTCTGTCAATCTCCAATTAAATCATCACAACTTAATGAATTTGTACATGTGTACATGTTAATTTGATTTCAATCATTTTGTTTTAAATCTGGACATGTGCAGGTGGACTTAGCCAGTGCTAAGAAAGGTCTTATGCCTGCCTGTTGGAGAGATAGAGAGAAGATTAAAGCGTCAAATTCCGGTAAAAGATGCTGTATAAAAGACAGGCTACAACTTTTTTTCCTTGTACCCCCTGGAATTATTCTCTAAAATTTTACTGTTTATTGTCCCCCCCAACTATGAAATCACCAAGTCATGTGGAGTGTATTTGAGGTTAAAGCTCGTCCGTATGAGTTACATACAAATGATACAAATGATAGTATTCATTGTTCAGAATTCTTGTTATTGTGGGTTAATAACGGATAATTATTAACATCCCTAAGACAGACAAATCAGGAGGCGACACAGTCTGGCATGATCTGGCTACAAATAATATGATCTTGTACTTGGTTGATATTATATATTAAGTTAGCAGATAAAAACGAGCAGCAAAATGAGGTGCAAGCTTTAAATTTGTTGTATATATAGTGTTGTATTGTTTTGAATCTGCTTTCAGCCATCTTACTGATCACAGTCCTTCAAAACAAGCTGGTTGGATGGAGAGGGTGAGACAGCAGCGCCCACTTAGGAGACAGGAAGTGTATAGCGTCCATTTTATACCACTGGTGCAGCTTGCAGTGCATTAACCATGACTACAAAGCATCTTTGGTTACATTACCAACGTTAACTTTGGTTTCACACAGGACACTAACACCAAGTCTCCTGGATGAAAGTCCTTTGTTGTTTGTTAGACCCATCCCAGACCCAAAATGCATTATATATTAAGTACTGATAATATTTTCCATCCACCATCTACACACAGTTTATTAAGATCCTCTTAGGTGCAAACATGAACTAAAATCACTGCATTCATTCAAGTTAAAGACCCAATTTGGGTGTGCCTGTACGCCTGCCTATTTTAGATTTTATATGTTGGATCAGACGTGTAATAATGATAATGATAATGATAATCGAAACATTTTCAGTCTTTATAACCTTTAACATTTTAGACATAATTTATCTGATTCCTGTTTGTGAATACGTTACTTAGCAAAAGAGAATCAACGGCCGGAACAAAGACCTGCTCAGATTGAGAGTGAGCGACGTAAATAGAAAAACAAAAACTTACTATCAGCTTCCAACCTGAGGAAGAGCGCTGCTAAGATGGACACTTGAAAGATGTTCAGACGGTAGTTTGGTCTCATGGTGGAAACACTTCAAGAACCAGCTATCCACTTCTGTCAAACAACTATCACTGTAGGCCTGCTGTTGATATCAAAGTAAAGGACGTCTGGTATACCTCACTTCCTGCTTTTGTTTGCTGTGGTCTTAGATGTGTGCTTACCTCCATTGCCCTTAACATATATTCCATATCAAAGCACAAAGAGCACACCTTTTTTTAACCTTGGTACATCTGGCACTTTGGGGGTTTTTGAGTAAACATTTGTGTGTCTGTGGTATTAGATTATTTATTAGAAACCTTGAAATCAAACAGTCATGGATACACATTATGTTCTTTGATTGCACAAAATAATCAGATTATTAATACATTCTCCATTTCCCAGTTCAAGAAACACAATAATTCTAAAAAAGAAATAACAGAAGCTCCATAGTCATTCGTATCGTCAGAAAATGAGACAGTATTTAAGCTCCAAAAGGGTTTCCAGGTGTGACGTCACTCGACAGAGTAAATTCAAGTCATGGATGTGCAACAGCACAAAAGTCACAGTTTTGACCTGCGGTGAGTGCATGACACAAAACATTCAAACCAAGATCACAAACAAATGCAGATTAGTTGAAGACAGTTTGCATAAATTCTGTGAAAAAATACATTTAGTTTGGTCAGAGAAGGTGCTGCTGTTAGCCTCTCACACAGACTGAGGACTTTGTAGCCTGATGAGCCTTTTTCCCACTGATATGTAAGCACGGTGCTAAGTATTGTTGCCTCACAGCAAGAGGGCTCCTAATTCAAATCCAGGTTGGGGGAGCCCCTCTGTGCCAAGTTTGCTTGTTCACCCTGTGTCAGCGTGGGTTTTCTTCAGGTACTCCAGCTTCCTCCCACTGACCAAAGACATGCAGGTTAACTGGTGACTCTAAATTGTCCGTAGGTGTGAATGTGAGTGTGAATGGTTGTCTGTCTCTATGTGTCAGCCCTGTGATAGTCTGGTGACCTGTCCAGGGTGTTCCCCGCCTCTTGCCCAATGTCAGCTGGGATAGGCTCCAGCACCCCACGACCCTCAAGAGGATAAGCACCGAAAAATGCCTTGTTTCACTATCAGGATTTGATCCATTTAGGCTGATAACATTTTCAAGGTCTAGTAGAGCCGCACACAAATAAATACCTTTATCCATTAAAGTTAGCAGGAGCTAAACCATAAGTTAGCCACTCAGCCGGCAAAGTCTCTAATGCATTTGCTCTATGGGCAACACAGTGTGGAAGATCCACATAATTTCATACACAGGAAGTCGAACTTTTTTGGCTTCATGCGCCACTGAGCAACTTTTACTAAAATGAACAGGGACCCTCAAAAGCTGTACCCAGTTTTCTTCATAAATCCAAGGTTATGCTTCTGTGATGCCACCATCACGCCACCTTGAGCTGGGACAGCGTTATCAGGAGATCTTTTAATTGGACACAAAATTATTATACGTCTCTGAGTGCAGGATGAATCATCAGATTTTTTTTTATCATTTCCAGGAAATGATAAACTCTACAATACTGTTAAAAATACCAACTAAATTACTTTTTTATTATCTCTGGGCCAGATACTGGTGTGACCATCAGTGATAAAACAACTATTTAGATTTCATGATGTCTTTAACTAAAATGGGGGCACATATATACACTTTTGTTGTTGAGAAGTAATTTCCTAAAAAAAAGTTGGGCACTGTAGATTTCAGCAGAAGTTACTCAGACAGCAGTAAATGGTGAATTTGTTGGGGACTATTTTCTGCTGTGGATTAATCCACATTTGGTGCTCTAGTGAGTATTTACAGCTGCAGGACTGTGTTTGTGGGATTGACTCAAAATAAATTATTGTATGTGTGAAGGAACATGTCTCGCAGTTCAAGTGGTTTTCAAGTTCATATTGAGGAATAAGTTATGTCAGACAATACGTATAAGTAGGATCAGTTTTATGGGATTTGTTGACAGTAAGAAAAATGCAGACTATCACCGGCCTTATACTTACTTACTATCTCATACCACAGCTCCAGTGGGATTGTCAGTAACATTTCCGGGTAAACAAAAGAAGACGTTTTACTGTTTTATGATGCAAACAAGGCAACCTTACGGCTATCTGTATCAGTACCGAGTTGTCTCCGGTCCTCTGGCTGAATTGAAATAGAGTGAAAACCACATGTGCTTATCCCCTTCTCAGTCTGGCACATTTGGTACATGATGACCTCACAAATTCCCAGCAAACTTCAACTTCAGCAGAGGTCTAAGTAACCAGAGTCAAAAGTTGGTGTGTAGGGCCGTTAATGTATTGACCAAATGGTGGAGATGCTAATTTAGCATTAAGCAAAGTCTCATGTGGACTTGGTGGGTTGTCCATGCTGTAGCATCCTCATGCTCTGACAAAAGCGAGCCGTTTTTACCAAAGAGGGTCACTGTATCAAATTTTAATTCTCCTCCAACATCAAGACCACATTACTCCACTTAACGCAAACTGTCGTCCTCTTTGAAGTCACTTAGTCTCATGGGTGATGGGTCTTTCACACGGATAGCCGCGTACTCTGAAGTCTCCTCCATTGGCCTCCGCGGCCGAGCAGCAGGTCTCGCTGGCACCTGATGGTTGAGCGCAGCATACACAAGAGAACTCCCCTCTTCCTCTGCCTTTTTCCTCGGTCTCCCTCTGTCCTCCTTCACCTTGCTGTAAACGTGCTCATTGTCTCTCGGTAACGGCAGCTCATTGGGTTGTGAGGGCAGTGGCTTTCTCCGAGTGGACCTCCGAGGTGGCGGTGCAGAGGGGCTTCCTCTCGGCGAGGGCTGGAAGCCGGCATGTGGGAAGGGTTCCATTGGGATTGCAATGTACTGCAGACATCAAAAAAAGCATTTTGCAGTAAAATATTTAAAGAAATAAGATGCAAGTTTAAAATGTAGCCTTGTCTTACCTGATTTTCAGATTGCGTCTTTTTCTTTGATTTCCCTGCATGATGACAGTTTAAAATTATTTCCTGTTTTTAGAGTCACAGTCATGTCCTATATTGCAGATTTATTCAACATCTCACCTTTACATCCGTGCATTGATACAATGGAAATAATTATCACTACAGTGACGAATGCCACAATCCCAGCACCAAAGTAGATGTATATAAACAGATCTGATGAGGTGTCAGGTTTCAAAGTGGGGGCTTCTGCGAGAAAAAGAGAAAGTCTGACTGAATATGAATGTGTTTATGTATATAAACATATATAATCATAAGTAGTGTAGGCCACAGTGTTTGAATAAACAGGATTCAGATTCATGTGGAGCAGCCATGTCCCTACACAACATAACATATAAACTCTTCTTACCTGTGCTATTCATCCCTGAAACATTGGCACACTCATCATGATCTATAAAACAATGCAGAGCAGCTGTCTTAAGTCATAATAATATTAAGATAGACATTGTCGATAAAATTTGTTCATGTATTTTTTGGTAGCAGTAGAAATATGAGCAGTACAATGTCAGCACAGGCTTCAAAGGGTCAGTTCAGTCCAATATAGATGTATTAAATTGTATAAGAAGTCACTCACCGTGGACAGAGACGTTGATGTTATGACTCACAATGCCTCCACTTTGACACTGATACACACCCGAGTCATTTCTGAATATTTTTTGGAAGATCAAAAACGATATTCCCTCTGAATGGTTTACACGTTTCCACTCCGTTTTAATGCGACTGCTGACATCGACAGGGACGTCAGTTTTCTCTCGTTTATACCAGGTGACTGTTGGTGGTGAGTCATTGCAGAACGCAACAATGCAGTTAATCCTGAGGTCTTCTCCAGGGAGAGCTTCATAAACTGTGTCACGGGCCACTTTAAGATCAACTTCACAGTCTGAATCCTCACCTGCAAACAAAAATGACAACAAACATTAATTCATCCTTATTTTTACTACAGTTTACTGTAATGTCTTAATGTAGCAATCGTATCTGATACCAGCTCATAATGAAAGAATGAGACATTCGATCTTAAGATACACTTCAGGTGAGAGCTTAGCCCCATATGTGTTGTGCAACAATCATTTTTCAAAGACGGTTTCTGCAGGTCCACCAAGTTAAAGGCTTTTTAATACCAGAGGTATTAAAGGTCCCATAAAGCAGGTATATGTGCAACATAAATACTATGAAAGTATCAAATGCTCAATGCTCTACCTTTAAACAAGCTACCGGCTTATGTAAAGCAGTGATGTCATGACAATACTATTGACCGAATCACTGTGACGTCCTGCTAACACTTCCTGGCAACTGATATGAAGCAAACTCAAGACCGACCCTTTTAGCCTGGCTTTTAATTTAACTGTTTTTCATTTTATTTATGTATTTTTATTTTTTTAATTTTACTTTTTAAATTTGTTTCTATGATTATTGTGTATTTATTTATTTCTATTAATCTGTTATTTTTTTTATTTTTTTTTTTTAGCTGGCATATTCTTCTATTTCCTTATTCATTTATTTTAACTTATTTATTTACGGATCTAAAATTGTTATCTATTCTGAGTCCCCACTCATGATAGCGTTTCCTCAGTTCCTGTTTTTTATGATAGTGCTTTTATAACGGTCTGTTACTGTTTAGTCCTGACCATTACAGTCTCTGAATTTATGTGTGTGTGTGTGAGTGAGTGAGTGAGTGAGTGAGTGAGTGAGTGAGTGAGTGAGTGAGTGTGTGTGTGTGTGTGTGTGTGTGTGTGTGTGTCTGTGGTTGGTGGATGGGGTGGGGTTATTGTTTTTATTGTGTGAAGCACTTTGGGTTGCATTCTGTTTGTATTAAAAGTGCTGTATAAATTAAGTTTGATTGATTGATTGATTGATTGATTGATTGATTGATATGAATTTTGGAGACTTATTTCTTGCTTATTTCAGTTGCCATTTTCAGCTGTAACTGTAACATTGAAAAATGTGTAGTTAAACACCCTGACCCACCCTGCATTAATATTACACAATAACTGATTGAGGCGGTGGTAAACTAGCAGCTCCCATGTTCTAAAACGACTGTTTTTGTCAATGGAGTCTGGTGGTTTTGAGATAATGACTTCAGCTCCCTGTTGGAAAAGGCTGTTTGACAGCAAGGTAAAGCGGTTAAAGTTTTTCACGTATAACGTACACTTAAACTGTTTTTGATTTTGTTTTTTTTTTGAGTTGGCTAAAAACTAACCAATTTAGACAAACATTTTGATTTGGTCTACTCAGGCCACGATCACACAGAAAGCATTTTGCAGGTTGCAAACCCGAGTCGCGGCACACTGCCTTTTTTTTTTTTTAAAAAAAGAGTGCCACTATTGAAGAAAAAAAACGCTCACTGCAACACACCCACTGCCTCACCTCCTCATTCAAACGTTCCCATGTAATCAATCTACCATTTATTTTTTTACTTTAGTTATTTGACAGTAATTAGTATCTAGTTACTAAAATGTTCAGGCAGAGGGTACTTGCAGTAGCTCTGGTTGAGGGTGAGAGGCTGTCAGCAAATAGTTTGTCGGGCACAGGGAGACGGAGATCTGTGTGGGTACATGAGACACTAAAAAAGAGGGTGGATCATGGGGAGTACCACCAGTTGGTCCAGGAACTTCACCTCAGTGATGGCTGTTTCCAGGCATATTTCAGGATGACTTGGGGGCAGTGTGACAACCTGCTGTCTATCATCAGGCCATACAGTTCTGAGTATCCAGCAGCCGCTACCACCAGTTTCTCCTCCATTGTTTACCAACTGTTAACTCTCAAATGAATTTTTTTCAACTCAAGGAGTTCAGAGCGCTCCGGCAAAAGTGCCACTCTGTTACAGTCATTCCCTGGCTGCAGTGACAGTGCAGAGATGCTAAAAGCACAGATGTGGAAGACCTGGAAACACTGACAAATCAGAGCAAACTGAGCTTATTGGGAGGCGGTCTTAAAGAGACAGACACTGAAACGGAGCATTTCAGACAGAGAGTGAACACAGATATATTCAGGCAGACATTACGAGAAAAATAAAGTGTTTTTTGAACATTAAAGCATGAAAACGTGTTTTAATAGAAACCCAAAATACAAGTTTGAACCTGAAAATGAGCGTAATATGGGACCTTTAATACCTGTTGATGTAATACCAGCCAAATTATATTGCATTTTGTCAGTACTACAGTACAACTAATGAAATCAATTAACTTAATGTGATCTGGACCTGAATAAGCAGCAGAAAAATCAGTTTTCTAAAATCAACACACTCAATCGTAAATTAAATTTAAGACTTTTTAATATTCCTTGAGGCTTTTTAAGACTTTTCATGACTTGCAGATACCATGAAGAGAATAGTTTGATGAAGTTTTTAGTTAGAGGACGCCAGACATTTGGACTACGCATTAGCAGCCTAAAACTCTCTGAGTAAGTTATGGAACGAGGAAGAAAAATTGTACAAGATCAAAAGACAAGTAAACCGTGCATGACTTAATACAGTGAAAACGAAAACATCTAACAACTAATTAAACACTCCTGAAACTGACATTTCATTTTGCAGTGAGTGGAAACATTATTTGCACGAGAGGGAACTGAGAGTGAACCCCACCTAAAGTACGGCGTCTCAAGGGGAACCACCCAGAGAACCCTCAATTACACCGAAATCTGCAACATTTGTGTTAGTTTGACACAATTCAATGCACCTGATATTCCACTGTTCATAAATGGAGAGTTCATTCTTGACCTCTGAAGCAACAGTTAACAAAACAGCCTTACATTTAGTGGCTGTTCTGGAGCTTTCAGACGTCACCTGATCTTAAACTGGTTCCTTGCCATGTTGTGAAAATATGTATCTGCAAAATTTCCCTCTGTGTAGAAAAGCAGCCCTGTTCTTGCACTTTTCATGTATTTTATGGTTTATATTGATAAACTCCTTTTTTAACAGTCTGTGGTTAACTCCACTGGTGTAACACATACATAGAGGTAATATTTAACATGAATGAATCTGATTTTGCTTTGAACAAAGTCCATTTTTAAGTGTTGGTTGCTTTCAACCGCCAACATGAGTCGTCATTAAATAATAGCTCTTCTGCTGGCCTCAAACCACAAACAACATTGAGAGCACAATGAATACACAGTAGCTAAAAAAGTGTGTGACACAGAGGTCAGCAGTAGTAAATAAAGTAATTCATACAGCCATTTCTCTTTTTTACACCCATTGCATGTGGCATAGACATAGATCTTGGGGGGCGCGGGTGACACTTTCCCCTCAACATTTAGAAAGTGTGAACATCCTACCGATAAACATTAAAGTAGCAGAGGACTTGTGTTTTGACAGTTACACTGATGCAGAAAATGCACAAACTGGTGCATAAACAATCACCAGAATGCAGGAAATTAAGTGTTTAATTCTCAAAACTTTCTGGTGGATGACGACCAAATGCCCCACTTCATATTTGTCCCCCCAAATGTCGAAATAAACCTACGCTTATGGCAAACGGGGAATTATAGAAACCAGTAACACGAAGTGGGTGTACGGCTGATAAAGCTAATGAATATGCTCTAGAAATTTTTTTGTGTCATCTATAACATTTCTGCCTCTTTTATGTTTGCATAAAATCTCTAATTGTTTCCACTGAGCTCCCACACGCGCCAAAAACACCCTCCTGTTGTGGAAGAAATTACCTAAAAGTAGCATTTTTAGCATTTGAAACCAAAATTATGCATTTGTTTTGTCAGTTCAAACGACATCCGTAGTACACTTTCATAATAATATTATTTTTTGGTATGCTCGAGGAAGAATGTTTTACACCAAACTGAGGCACTCATTGGGTTTTGGAGATGACTTAACACCGACTTCGTCTTGTAATCGCTGCCTGTATACTTATACTGCGTAGACAAGTACATGGCGCTTTGAAGTTCATGACTTTTATAGTAATCAGGCCTCCAACCTTTACCAGAGAATCTGGACAGTGGTCACATTGCCAATTTTTTAGTAACCTGACAGACCTAGAGAGGAAGAAAAAGTAACACCACACAAATACTGAGATAGCAAAATATGCAGAAACAATAACTTACTGTCAGCGTTTAAGGTGAGAAGCAGCACTGCCAAGATGGACACCTGCAGGACGGTCCAGCAGTGGTTAGGCCTCATGATGGGAACACTCAGAAAACCTCCCGTCATCTTCTAGTCGCAGCCAATCCAAGTGGGAAATGTTCCTCCAAGCACATCATTATTAAGTTAAGTAAAACAGAGAAGTGCTGAAGCTGAGGTTGGAGCTGCTTAGCTACATGCTGCTTCCTCTTTCTACTCTCTGCTCGCTCCCTACCTTCCCCTTTAAGGTAGTGAGTGCACTGAAGGGGAGAGAAGATCGGTGGGTGGTCTTGCTTCTCTAAATGTTGCAGGTCCAATACAGGGAAACATCTCAGATCAGGGGGTTCCCACAGTTTATCATGCAGATACTGCTCTGACACAGCTACAGCAAAGATCTCATGCTTTACACCAGCCTTCCTTTCTAGCTCTTTTCATTTCCGAGTCTTGTTTCAGTCTGTGCACCTTGACAGCGACTTCATCATTTCTTGGCAGTGTCTGTGGTTCACCCTCTTCAAGCTGACTTCCTCCCCCTTCTCCCTTCCTTTCATCTTCACCTTGTGCATCTCCTGCAAGCTTGTGCGACCTTGTGCACAGCAGTGTGGTTTTAAGGGAGGATATACTGTAAGGTGCATGGAGGAGAAGATGGAGATGCTGTGGCCTCTTTTAATGGCCACTTTGTTGATGTGTGGTTGCTATTACTGTAGGCAGTGCTGTCAGCCTGTCTGTCAATGAGTCGGCCTCATTCAGGTTTTTAAGGGCTAGACAAATAGATAAGATTGAGCTGTATCATGGGAAATGTAGGAGCCACTGTTTTGGGGGCTTGTCTGAAACTGCGTTTAAATTTATCTCTTGTAAGTCCCCCAAATTATGTCCCTTTAAAACTCTGAAGAAATATGTGCAGTGAAGGGAAAGTACCCAAAACTGGAAAAGACCTGCATTCAAAATGTTATCAAAGTTAAAGTGCCTAAGCAGTTGAAAAATGTAGGCCCACCTTTAACACACTGTTATATTATAATGTAGTGGCCAGGCCCTAACAATGGATTTTTATGGAGAATCTTATTCTGTAGGCTTACACGCTCCCTTCAATATTTAGAAAATATGTGTTTTTCTCCTTTAATAAAGACAGAAAGTAGCATTACATGTCTTTAATTTGACATTTACACCATAAACTGGTGCAGAAAATGCACAAATTGGCATAACATTTCACTAGAATGCAGAAAATTATATGTTTGATGCTGGCAGAGGACCCCCAACCCCTTATTTTATCTTTGTCCCCCCAAGCATTAAAATGAAACCTAAACCCATGAGTAAATGTGATAATACTTCACTGTAAAAATAACCCATTACAAGTAAGTGAAAGTACAGATTTAATATCGGCGACATGTACTCAAAAATAAAAGTACTCTGAATAGATGGTGTCAAAGTGTTATAGTGTTATATATCCTATGTATATTTATCACTTACTTAGGGGCTGTTCATTACTTATTAGAGGGAAGGGGGTGGTGCAAAATAGGGGAGGTACTTTAAATAGTTTTTAAGCATTGGGAAGGAGGTTATGGTTTTAGATTTAGCATAGGGGAGGGACATTTAGCTTTAAGTGGTCGTATTTTGTATTTATTTGTATTTATTTATTTATATGAGTGGGTTTCAAGGGCATTTTTTGTTTTAATCTCCAAAACCACACCACTTATCATAACCAGAAACCGTGAAATATGGTTATTTATGGTGAAGGGAGAGTGGTGCATTTCCCCTAGTCATTAAATATTTGTAGCTCTGGGGAGGGTCATCATATATAGCTTATTAAAAAAATGAAGGCACACTGCAGCAACCCCCTTACTCTGATAAGTAAAATTAAAGTTGCCTAGTTTATACCCTGAGTAGTTTTATCTGCAACATGTTTTACAGGCAGAAGACAAAAGAAAATAGGCGACTAAAGCAAAGTGCAAGTACCTCAAATCTGTACATAAACAGTACCTAATAGTTACTTTCCACCTCTGGATACTCACCTGTTGGGAGAAGACGAAATACAAAATAACGAGTAAAAACAGGGAAAAAAAGACAATATATTGAGGGGATTTTTTGAACATTCAGACTTTTAGGGTTGCTTGTGATAAGAAGAACTTTATTGTCGTTGAGCAATAATTAATATTTTCTAGAGCAACAGCGCTGGCATGTGGCCTTCAGGGTCATTACAAGTTGTCCTGACCGCGCGATCGCCGTCCCTTTACGTAATGACGTAACCTCTACGCTTCCGACGAGCCGAAAATGGCGGAGTACCTGGCATCCATTTTCGGCACAGAAAAAGACAAGTAAGTTTTATTTAATATTAACATTAAAAGTCGTCCAAACGACGAGTGTTTTATAAGGTATGTTTGCAGCGGTTTTTAACAGCACCAGCGGGGCTCAGCTTGTAGCCGCTGCGCTGCTGAATGACTCAGTCAAGCTAACATTAGCAACAGGAAGCTAACGCTCAGCTAACACATTGAATGAAACTCAGGGAAGCACCTCAGCTAACCTGCAGCTGCTGTGTTTTATGTGTTTGCACCAAAAATGTGTCAGTTTACAAAGTGTTCATTAGTATGTTGGTACACGTAAATATTATAAGCACACTATGGAGGTCATTAAATGTAAAGGCAGCGTGTAGCCTGGTTATTAATGAGCTTGTTAGCAGGCTAGCTGGCTAGCTCAGGCGGATTGTTGTGTTCGTTTCACCAGTGGAGTGCAGCTTAATGCTTCCTGCACACAGTGAATTGTTTGCCATGCACAGAGCTGAATATCGCGCGACATGGTAAATTTACATTTACTGCACCAGTGTGACGAGTATTTGGAGGAGGGTTGTAGTGCCGTTTGTATAGGGGGTGGTTCGTGAAACTTAAAAACAACCGGTAATCAACAGCCAAGCAGAGGCTTCTCTTATCTAATAGGCAATACAATATTGGTGTAACTTAACTCCCAAACAATATTTAATTGATATTGTCTAGTTCTAATACTTCATATATGTATAGTATTAATATATGTTATTCCAGTGATCTACTACATTATGAAACAGGAGTAAACATGATCTTCTCTCCCAAATATAAAATAACAGAGTGCTTAAATTCAAATTAAGTCTGGAGCTGCTCCATAGACAATGAATGGTGAAAGATGTTACAGATGACACTGAGAGCACCCAGAGGAATGTTCTGAGTATGCAGTTTCATTTTCTGTTTCATTAAATGAGCACAGTGGGGTATAAAAGATAAAATACACACTGTGTGGGTCCTCAAAATCAGCCTCCCATTCATTGTCTGTGGAGCAGCTTCCGACTTCACCCTATGACATCACAAGGGTGAGATTCCTCTGGTTTTTGGCTCAGAAAGAGAGTAGCTGATGTCCACAAATACAGATTGAACTGTTTTTAGACCCTGTTAATAGCACAATGGAATTCTTAATTGAGGCGGTGATCCCATTTAAGTATGTAACATAGCTCGTAAATATGTCTGGTGGTTTATATTGTAAACGAATACTGGAGAAAGACCAGAACCAACAGTGACTTGATGTGACAAACTAGTGTTGCCTGTTCATTCAAAGCCTGATATAGCTTATGCTTCTTTTCCATAGAGCTCCGTTGCTGTCAAGACAATATGACAATATGGAAATTGTATTTTATTTCTTTTTTCTTTTTAAGTGATGAAAGCTTGTTCAACTTGTTCCCACTTGTCCCCCGTGTGGGCACAAAATAAAAAACTAAAAAATCCACATTTCAGAGCTGTAGGGGCTCCATAGTTTTGGGAGATTTTTGAATTTTTAAAATACAAACATTATAGGCTCTTGATCTGTTCTGCAGCCATAGATATGTTGATTTGGAAAGTCTTAAGAAACAATGATGCATTATTGGTGTGAGTCTGATGACACTTTTCCTTCTTTTCCAGGGTCAATTGTTCCTTCTATTTTAAAATTGGTGCTTGCAGACATGGAGACCGCTGCTCGAGATTGCACAACAAACCAACCTTCAGCCAGGTGAGGATCCCACCACAAGTTTTTCTACCAAAATAATGGCTCTTTATCCCATGGTCTTGTTGAATACTTGACTCTGATTGGCTGCAGGGTGTCTATTAGGTAAGGGATAATGCCTGACAAGGTGTCCATTATCAGGAATTAATGGCCGGCGTGAAGGCATGAGCCGTCTGACATGCAGACACCTCGTTGGGCATTTTCCCTAAATAAACTGCACAAACATGTAACACTTTTCTGCCTTAACAGATGAGGCGATTTTCAATTTGCCTCTCATTCACCCATTCACACGCGTGCTGACACACTATTCATACAAATAATACAAAATTACATACAAACAAAATTAAAGTATCCTAATCAAATAAAACAGCAGTTTTTTTCTGTTTGTTCGGATAAGACGCTGTGAAAAAAATGCTTTGGAGCTGCACCCAAGCCTGTTCTGGCATCCTGTTGGCTAAAATGTTGGTGACTTTCTAATGTAAACAAACACAAGCAATATCGTACCATATACAGGTGTGACCTAGATAATTTTTGTCAACCTCGATAAGTTCATAACCCAATTATTGTGACTCATCGAGGCACACACCCAAATCACAAGTCATGTTGCAAACTAAACCAGTGAAGACTGTGTGGAAGCTCTTAACTCATGCAGCCAATCTGAAAAAAAATATCATATTCACTTATTAGGTGAAACACTGAATTGGTATATTGACTGTGTAATCTCTCAGACATGGTCTGCTTCATGTGGCATTAGAGTTAAAAGTGTTCATATGCACTGTAGATGAGTTACTTCTTCAAAAGTTTGTTTTTAGTTGTTAAGTAGGAGTACTGTGTGTGCAAAATGTTTTGCTCATATTTTGCAAACCTCTGCTAATTTTAATGTGTCAGCAATTACTTTTGGTTAAAAAAAAAACCTGCCCTGTCAGTCATTTCCTATTGTGTCATATCCTTTTCCCAGCAGTTGCATTTCATAGCTCCTTTTTACGATATTAGACAAGTTAATTCTTCTTCCATGGAATTATTAATTGGTGTGTAGGCAGGTGAGAGTGGTTTACAGAAATTATTCTGAAACAGAACTGTACCAGACATGTCATTAT